CAGTCACCCTCACTACTTTTTGTCCTTTTTCTTACATTGTCTCTAGAAAATGACAACCGAGACCCACGGTCATCCAAGGACAGACAGTCTCTCTAAGAGACTCCAAGACATCTCTTAGACATTCCAGTGTCTCTAAGGCATTCCTGTGTCTCTAAGAGACTGAGTCTCAGGACTGTCAGTACGACTTTGCCCCTTCATCTTAGGATACAGTAGAACCAAAGATGTGTGTGGTCCAGGCTGGCCTCAAACTCCAGATCCTCCTGCCTCTGCCTCCTTCAGCAAACCCTACCAGCCTGCACCACCAGGCTCAGTAGTTAAGAGCGCTGCCTGCTCTTCCAAAGGTGCTGAGTTCAATTCCCAGCAACCACATGGTGGCTCACAACCACCTGTAATAAGATCTGGTGCCCTCTTGAGGAAGAGACCTGGTCAGTCGTCCTCATCAACTTAGATCATGAAACCCAGTATGAACAAGTTCAACAGAATCACCATATATGGGCTGCCCATGCCTGCTTCAGCATGGCCAGGGCATAAATTTCATTTTTCAGAATCAAAGATGATCTAGTCAAGGGAGGTTTCTAGCCTTGTAGAAAAGCTCAGACCTGGAACCTGTGGGCTTATGTGACTCTAACACATTTTTAACCTTAACTTTCCTCATCTGGAACAGCGAAATAAAAATATCTCTACCTATCTCACGGGCTTGGGGAAATTAGCAAGAGAGTCTTTTCTGTTGGCGCAAACAGCAGCCATCCCGAGAGCTGTCTTGTCTGTCGGCACTGACTCGGGAGTCATGGACCAGCCTGCCTGCCTGGGATGCCACCTGCTGTCAGGAGGGTTTCAGAAAGGAAATAAAGCAAGGAGAATCGACGCGGGCCTTGCAGAAATCATAACCCAGGGAGCGACGGCTCCCCCGAGCCACGCTGCAGGCGTCCTGATCACGTCAGGCACATCACAATGGACAAAACCTGCGTGTGTCACAGAGGGATCAAACACCGGCATAAACTCTACTATCATGGGAGGGTGGCGTCCCGTGCTTTCTTTCCTTGCCTTTTTACTTGGCCTGCAGGCAATCTGTCAGGTTTTGTTTAACTTTAGGCAAGTTTCATCTCACATGTGATAAACTAATATTCTGGGGGTAGCCTAGGGGCAGAAAAGGCCTCCTAAGGATTATCTTGCTTTTAACACGTTCTTCCCTGTGGACACTTGACCTGAGAATAACAGATGTTTGAGTCGGTTAGGAAGTGCAGGGAAACCAGTTCCCTACCAGTTCTCACGGTGGGAGTGGTCGGGAAGCCGGCACTTCGGTGGGGGTTACTCAGCTTCACCTGGTGCTTTGCCAGGAAAACATGGTACCCAGCACTCCAGAATCTCTTGGAACCTTCTGAGCTACGGGACTCTGAGAAGCTGTCGAATCCCATATCCTTTGAAGTCTGGCAAGTTTCAAATCCTGTTGGACTGCTTAAAATTGGAAACAGATTGGAGTCAAGGAGCAGCAGAGCGCCGAGCTCTCTGCTTTTGCTCCCAGTCGTTGGAGAAGCAATGATACCCAGATATCTGTGCCCCCACACCCGTTGATCCCACATCTCCTGACTCTCCTGGCATCTGCTGTTTGACTGTAAAGCTCAGAAGACTGTTCTCAGCATGGATGGTCCGTGCAACAGGGATTTCTAAATTACTCAGCAGGGATTTCTTCATTGTTCCAGGGTTTTGTGGCTGTTGCTTTTCAACGAGTACTGATGACCACCCCTTTAAATCGATCAAGAAATTACTTAGTTCCTCTTCTCAAACACTTTTTTAAAAATCTACAGGCTGAGCCCTCTAGGAGCTGCTTCATAGACCTTCTGGTCAACGCTTCCCGACACTAGCCTGTAGTGAAGGCAACAGCAGAGGCTTTTCTGGGCACTAGAGCCAGGTGCTGGAACACCAAGTCTGCTGTTCGACTCCCCCCCAGGACAGCTCGGAGTTGGCCGTACCACAGGCTATCCATGAAGGTCAGCTGACTAGGGCTCTTAACTGTTTCCCTTTCAACCCCTGAGCACAGCTTTATCCCTGGAGACTAGGTGTAGTTATCAAAATCTCCTACTTTGGTAATTTTTGCATGACTTAATCCTGGAAACTAAATAGAATCAGTGTTGTTGTTTTTTTTTTTTTAATAGTTGCTAAGGGGAGCTGACTCATCTAGCCCATCTTTGACAGTGGAAGCCAAGATGTATCAAAGGCGACCAAAATCAATTTTGGTTTAGCACCGGAGGGAGGAGCTATCAGTAAATAAAAGAGTGGTGAAAATCTTGCATAAACAATGTTTGGGGGTAATTAAAAGTGAGTGCAAGCAAACGATTTTAGATGAGGAAAGAGTCAGAGGAGGGTGACGCAACCTTGTTGTTAGAGTCCTGATAAATCTTCTGAAACTCCAGACAGACATGTCTGCAGCAGGCTGGTCAGAGACTGTTGAACAAGGTGGACCCTTGGACTATTGAAAAGCCAACACACATGCGTGCACGCGCACGCGTGCACACACACACACACACACACACACACACACACACACACACCAAAAACAAAAGGGAGGAGGGGGAAAATGGAGAGACGACGAGAAAGAAATTTTTTCCTGAGTAGAACATCTGATCTTTGTAACTGGAAATGAAATAATTCTGCATCTCATGTTTCTTTAAAAAGGTATCTTTAGGTTGCAGAAAATAAAGAGCAATTTTGAAAGTTTAGACTTTTGAAAAAGAAATACCAGCATTTCAGTGCGTGATCGTATCATTAACACACGAGCACACACTTTCGCCTAGAATTAAACTTGGGCACCACAGAGGAGTGGAGGAGACGCCTGGAGCCATGGATTAAACACAGCTGGCAGAAAGTAGGGCTCTCCTGATTCCTGGCTTCAGCTGTGCCCCAAGAAACATGTTTTCGGGGATGGATATTTGGAGGCTGACATCACAGGGGTGTGCTAGAATCCTTCTAAAAGATTGAGTTACCGGCCAGATACAACTGCCTCCTCTCTAAAGAATGGAACTCAGTATTAGAAATGTCAATATTTTTAACTTTTATTTGGGGCCTTCATTCATCCAGTAAAGACTTATTTAACGTCTATAATCACCTACACCTGAACGACCCCTACCACTAGCTACCAGTTCGGAGAAAGTCTTTTCTCCCAGGCGAACTGGAGTCATGTCGCAGAGTCTGGTTTCTCCCGGCATTTCGGTCAAATTCTGCTTTGTTTGTGCTCTCCCATTCACCTTATGATACCAGTCTTACTCGGGCCCGTGGATGAATGGATAAATGAGCCATCAGGTGGGTGCTTAAGTAGATGGTTCACACTGTGTATAAACATCATCAAAATATGGCGCTGTGTCTCAAATACACATAAAAATTGTTAACAGAGGTGTGCATACGCGTGTGTGCACGTGCACATGTGTGTGCATGTGTTTGCGTGCATGTGCGTGTGTGCATATGCGTGCGTGTGTGCATGTGCATTTGTGCATGTGTGTGCGTGTGCGTTTGTGCACGTGTGTGGGTGCGTGCATGTGCGTGTATGTGTGCGTGCTGATTTAGGACCAAGACTTGTCAAGAACAATCTAAGATATTCATAATGCTAAAATGTCACGTTAATACTGAGGCATCTTAATGGTGCACTTATTTGCGATGATGCTTGACGGTTTTGTTTTTAAATCTCTCATCTGTCACCTTTTTGATTTTTTTGAAAACCTGACTGTATCACGCTAATGGATAAGGCTTTGTGTAAGTGTGTGATTAACCAACATTTAAACCACAATTTACACAAATCTTTTGGCTTCTTTTCATAGAATTTTATGTGCACCCCAGCATCTGTAATTTCTTATTATAGACTTATAATCTTGTCCCATATGAAGGTTTTCACTTTCTGGCCCTTCATCTTGAAGCAGTTTTGTTTTCTGAATAGCTCTGCACTGGGCAGAGCTGGTGCGGGGACTAAACTTAGAAGGAACAGACCTGCTTCCCACCACAGCTTTAAAGATCCCTTATTTTTCGTTTCTTTCTCATTCAATGCATTCTCTCTCTCTCTCTCTCTCTCTCTCTCTCTCTCTCTCTCTCTCACACACACACACACACACACACACACACACACTGAAATGCTTAAGGTGCTAAAATAATTCCATTGTGGCTTACATGTACTTTACAGTTTCCTGCATGGTACTCGGGCCACGCCTATGGACCCTCTACCCTTCTCGAGAATTCCTCGAATGTCAGCTGAGCATGATAATTCATCTCGCTCACTCGCTCATGCTGTGCCTCTGTCGAAGGACACTGCGAACTGTGTGGATAACTCCCAAGAGTTAGAAAGTGTAGTCTCTAAACTCCCCCAATTTTCATGGTTAGACTTTCTAATATTTTAGTTTCTATTTTGTAAACTATTTTCTCTATGTGTGAAAACTTTGGGCCACGTAGAAGTGTATCATCTCCAGGTAGATGTCCCTATTGACCCTGCAAGCCTGGCACAAAGATGGGGACGAAATGAGGACACAAAGCTTCTTTGGCATCTCGGACCCTAGACCCGACCTGTACAATGTCTTAGTGACCTTTGTGTTAGAGACCAAAAACACCTGGCAAAAGCGGTTTAAGGGAGGAAGGTGGGCTCTGGCTCATGGCTTTAGGGAAACCTCGGTCCACAGAGATGGGGACGTATGGCAGCATTCACTGTGGCCACAGTGTGTGGCAGGGACTCCTCTCCTTATGCGGAGTAGACAGGCCAAACCCAGAGGGAAGTGGTCTACTCCGGCAGCCAGGCTGCACCTCCCAAAGGCTCCGTGCCTTCCAGATAGCACTGTAAGCTAAAGATTGGGTGTTCAGACAGGAGCCTGGGAGCAGCATTTAGCTTTAAATCATGACGCCTAGCGCAGACTCTGTGTATTGGGCGTTGGCTCCTGTCTGCCCGTTCTACTGTGACTTACAAAGTTTATTCAACTCCAGCTTCATTTTTAACCTTAGCCCCTTAGCAGGAACCCTCATCATCTTACCCGAATTCCAACGTCGGTGATGTTGATACACTCAGACAGAGAAAGTTCCTTCAGTCTCCTGTGTCTGGAAAGTGTGCTCAAGCCCTGAAAATATAAAGGTGATTTTGTGATTCAATTCAGTATGGGATGTATCCAAGAGACATCTGTACAAGCTAATGACTTAAAAGAGCAATCGTCTATGAAAGCCAAACAAAAGCACCTACCTTCCGGGTCATACTTCTTTACGTCTAACAAAGCATGGGCTATGTTGACAAGAAAATTACTAGTATTAATCACTATTAAACCATTAAATAAGAATTTCAGTTATCTCTAATACTTGAAAAAAAGCTACAGAGAGCTAAAAAACCCCTTAAGGAATCACCTGTTGCTACTGTGTAGAGACAGATGCTGTTGGAACCAACGTGAGCTGCTCCAAGTGCCTGAAGACACTTGATGCGGTTAATGAGTTTATCAGGCTCTTATTCATTCCTAGCCTAAGAAACTCAAAAGCGTTAGTTCATCTCATGAAGAGAAAGGGGAACAATCTTTATAAAGATCTAGCAACAATAGCAGCCACCAGTAGCCCACATCTTTCAGGTTTAAAGACAAGACAGCAGACTGCTCTCCTGGCCTCCCCTTGTGTAGACATGGTTATGCTAGGCCACTTCTCAGCCGTTTTCCCAAGAGCTGACTCAACGGCCCCCATGTGCACTGATGACGTGATGTTTCCACGTGACTGATGACGTGATATCTCTATGTGCACTGATGACGTGATGTCTCCTACATGAGTGATGACGTGATGTCTCCATGTGACTGATGACGTGATGTCTCCATGTGATTGATGACGTGATGTCTCCATGTGCACTGATGATGTGATGTCTCTTACGTGAGTGATGACGTGATGTCTCCTATATGAGTGATGACGTGATGTCTCCATGTGATGGATGACGTGATGTCTCCATGTGACTGATGACGTGATGTCTCCATGTGACGGATGACGTGATGTTTCTGACGTGACTGATGACGTGATGTCTCCGTGTGCACTGATGACGTCATGTCTCCGACGTGACTGATGATGTCGTATCTATGTGCATGGTGATTTGGTGAACTGGCTGGCAGCTGGGCATGTGTGCTTGTTTGCTGGTGCTAGAGACGAGCCTGGGGCCTTGACATGCCGGGCAGGTGCTCTCCTGAGACACAGCCTCAGCCTTTCTGTCTTGTTTTGCAGAGCTGCAGGCTGTGTGGGAATTCAAGGCTCCAGGTTTCCAGCAAGCACTTTGCTTCTCCATAGCCCAGAGAACTGAAGGATCCAAGATGCTCAGGAACCCACAGTGGGAAAGTGGCTTACACATCAGTAGCAGGTTCACCGAGGATTCTAAAGAAAGTGGGTATCAAGTCATCCTAACAAATCTGTACATCACACAGAGTGACAGAGGTAAACAGAGCTTTCCTGGTGTGGGGAACACATCGTCACACCAAGACTAAAATGCAAGAAAAATGGGACTTGTGTTCTAAGAGACATGTGAAGACCACACAGGAGACTGCCTCCAACTGGAAGGCAGAGGTGGTGGTCTAACAGAATTTCCAAAGATGAAGAGAACTCTGGGTTAACCCTAGAGATTGTGATTTTTGACCAGCAGTAAACAGCCTCTCAGGCGAGGAAATGGTATGAGCAGAGACTTCGTTTGGAAAGTGAGTTGCCTGGAAGTATTTCAGTTTGGGGTTACTGGGACCAGTGGGAAGGAAGACAGAACACTGTCGGGGACAGGTCCGTGCACGCAAGACATTTGAGAGCTGAAGGTTTCTTGAACGTCTCTCCAGGTTTTACATCTGGATTTGCTTAGCTAATGTAGACCGACATTGGCAATGAACTGGTTACTGAGTCAATTGGGATGGGGAGCCTGCTCTGGCCAAGTCATCCTGTCCCTGGCTTGGAACAGCACCAACGTAAATATCGAACATCTTCTTCCAGGTCTACATTGAAAACATACACAGCTCCAGAAAGGTTCAAGAACATCAGAAGGAATACCTTTCTGCCCCTTGCCTACATTCTTCGGTTCCACATCAGCTTTCAGGTGCCGCCTACCTGAGGTGCCATGCACTTTGGTGGTGGTGGTGGTGGTGGTTGTCACTGTATGTTGTCAGGGGTGAGGACAGCTCTTTGATTGGCCTGTGAGCCTCAGGGGTTTGCCTAGCTCTACTCCCCAGAGCATGCCACCATACCTGGCTTTCTATATGGAGTTCTGAGGCTTGCACCCGGATCCTCACGGATTGCAGACTGACCTCTCTCCCCAGCCCAGGGCACCTTCTGAAGCGCACACACCAGTTCTTGTGTGTAATGTCTCATACTCTGCGTTTGCCCGCTGACGCCACATCTCCTTGGGAGTCTCTGTGTCAGGCTGTTCCACCTTCAGGGAGGTCACAGGGTCACTTGGTTACTGTACCACTTCATTAGAAACACGGTTTCCTTCATTTACCACGTCTGTAGTGTGGGTCTCTCAGGGTATTAGAACACAGTTCAACAGTGACCTTCTGATCTATGGTTTTAGTATTTCTTGGTGATCCTTGCCTAAATAAGTTATTAAGTGCAGCTTTGTAAATTCTGTCCTTCATTTTAGACTTCTTAGCTGAACTTTACTTAAAACTTTGTTTTCTTACTGAACTTTCCCTTTAATTCTGCTAAAATTTTGGGGAGGTGCTTTAAATAAGTTAAAGCTCTTAGACCTGGTCTTGTCCCAAGTCATGTGTGGTATTACTTAGTAACTGTTTTATATACTGGGGATTGAACACCGGGCCTCATGAATTCTGGGTAACTTTCACTGAGTTACGCACTCAGCCACCTATAAATATGAGTTTAGCAACTGGCCCAAATTTTTGTTAAATGTATTTATGACATAAAGTCACTGTCTTTAATGGTAGAACTGTGTTTCTTGTTGGCAGAAGATAATATTGAGGGAGATTTCATGATGACGATCTCTCAGAATGAACAACTCTGTGATTTCTTAAACAATCGACCCCCGACATGTGAAAATTAAGCGGAGGAAAACGACCTAAACAGGTTAGCAGTGCGGTGATGAGGTTTTATCTCTTCATAACTCACGTGCATGGCCTTTCTTCTGAGATACTTAATTTTTATAAAAAGCCTGGAATATAGCCTAGGCATTATGGAATGTGAACACTGAAGCAAATATAATGTAACTTATCTGGCAGCCATGATGCTAGGTAGGAATCATCCTTGTGAATATTTGTTTCATCTCAGCACTCACCTTTATTCTTAGATTTATTTATTTATTCATTGTTCATTTTGAGACATGTTCTCACCGTATAACCCAGGAAACCCTGAGGTCCATACCCTCCTGCTCCAGCCTCCTGAGTGCCAGGCTACCAAGTGGAGGACACCATGCCTGTCTGAGCCGTACATGTGAATACAAGCCTACCAGACAGTGACCACGGAGAGCTTGACGCCATAACCTGCCCTGGGTCTTCATGCCTTCACAGCAGACAAGTTCATCAGTGGGGCCGTCTCCGCAGCCCTGGTCTGTTGTTCTGGACTGTGCAGACTATAGGCAGTTTATCAATGGGGCCTTCTCTGCAGCCCTGGTCTGTTGTTCTGGACTGTGCTGACTGTAGACAATTTATCAATGGGGCCGTCTCCACAGCCCTGGTCTGTTGTTCTGGACCGTGCTGACTGTAGACAATTTATCAATGGCGCCGTCTCCGCAGCCCTGCTCTGTTGTTCTGGACTGTGCTGACTGCGGACAGTTTATCAATGGGGCCGTCTCCGCAGCCCTGCTCTGTTGTTCTGGACTGTGCTGACTGTAGACAGTTTATCAATGGGGCCGTCTCCGCAGCCCTGGTCTGTTGTTCTAGACTGTGCTGACTTGCTCTTATCTTGCTGGCACACTGCAGATTCACGGCTGAAATACACTTTCTTCTGGAATTGTTTAAACTGAGAAGGATTTGTTCTTCCTGTTGCTACTCACATTCTGTTAGCAACAGCGAGTCAAACATATCCTTGGGAATACGCAGCATGTCGGTTAGCATCTGTGTAAAGTCGCTGATAAGACTACAATCCTCTTGAAAATGTATCTTAGGCTCCCAAACTACCTTCCCTTTGATAGTCTAATTAGCAATTTTGATTTTATAAAGAGATTTCCTCCTCAATTATCTTTGTTCTCTTTTCCTCACTTTATTGTAAGTGTGAATCCCGTGATCACATTTACTTTTCGTTTTCTTTGTTGTTGTTTTTTTTTTTTTAATATTTTTTCTCTCTGAGACTGCCTTACACTGTAACTCAAACTTTCCTGGAATTCACTATGTAGCACAGACTGGTCTCAAATTCATGGCAATCCTCCTGCCTCAGCCTCCTAAAGTACTGAAACTAAAGCTTGAGCCACTGCAGATAGCTCTGTGGTAACTTCTTTTTGAAATGTTATCAGTCTTTCTGATGGACTGGCCACCATACAGGCCCAAAGGCACCCAGCCTCTGCCCAGCGCTTAGACAGGTAGACTGTATCCGGGAGCCCAGCCTCTGCCCAGCGCTTACACAGGTAGACTGTATCCGGGAGCCCAGCCTCTGCCCAGCGCTTACACAGGTAGACTGTATCCGGGAAACCAGCCTCTGCCCAGCGCTTACACAGGGCGACTGTATCCGGGAAACCAGCCTCTGCCCAGCGCTTAGACAGGGCGACTGTATCCGGGAAACCAGCATCCCTGGTAGCTGGGCTTGGGGCAGCTCCATGAGACTGCTGCTCCCACCAGGGCGGAAGGAGAGAAGGGAATGACGGACATCCACCCTACTTCTCTGTAGAGTTTCCGTGGGCACTTGGCTGGACACAGGAGACAAGGCACAGTGACATCTGTGAGAGAAGCCAAGGAGGTCATGGGATCTGCAAATTCACATCCTGTCTTGGCTAGAGACGCGGACGAGAGGCCCATGTCCCTGGGGAGAACCACAGCTGGCTTCTTGTTCTCTATTTCTGAAAATTCAGAGCAAATTCATTTCTCATCTTTTCCTACAGCCTGGACCCCGAGGGAGCGCCTGGGCTTCCGGTTTTGTAGGCTGTGCGTCCCTGGACCTGGAGCTTTATCTGTGTGTGTTCCACGCAGCTGGGTGGTCTCCAGCAGGCGGGTCAGCGGATTAGGACGTGCAGCTGTGAGTACTCCCGCTCCAGCTCAGAGCAGAGCTGAGAAAAGGCGGAGTCTAAAGAAGCCTTAAGTGCGTGGTCGGGAGACAGGAGATGATGCCGGGTCCGCTCATTCACTGGCTCGGGTACACGCATCCTGAGCTTCCTGTGAACTGGGCATTAGCAGCAGGCACCTGAGAGGGCATGGCCAGCCTCCACCCTCACAGAGCCTGGAAAGCTGAGGAGGGGAACTGAGCAAATATTAAGAATAATGGGCCAAGTACTTTTTAACATAATTTCTTTTTTGAGTTTTTGGGAATTTCTTATCGTGCACCCTAATTCCACTCACTTCCTGGACCTCCCATATCCTCCTGTCGCCCCTGAAATGCCCCTGCAAAAGAAAATTTAAAAAAAAATCAAATCTAAACAAAACAAAAATCCTGTCTGCTCCCCCATCTTTCCCACCTCTTCCTTCGTCCTGGTGGCACTGGGGGTTATGCCGTGTCTCGCAGGAGACCCTTTCATCCAATCCAGTGTGACTTGTGGTGTTTATTGCAGTGACTCACTGGTCTGGTTCAAGGCTTCCAGTTTCTCATCCACCTCATCTCTGGATCCTCACGAGAACTCCTGAGCTATCTTGCAGGTATTGTTCCACAGGACCGGCCCCTTCACGAGCTCCAGCAGGTCACGGGTGGGTTAGGTGTTAGGGTGGGCCTGGGTGGTAGCCGAGCTGGGTCACTGGGGCCGGGCCACCTGCCTCAGGGGAGAGGGCAGAGCTGTCTCCCCTACACCCATGCCATTAGGGTCAGCTCTCCCTCTACCGTGGTGAGAGGTAGCGCCATCTCTCCTGAGTGTGGGGGCCAACTCTCTCACTGTAGTGTCCAGCAAAGGGTGGGACCGGCTCAGTGTGGCCCTCTGATCTCATCTCGCATCGTTCCTATGCCCCCAGAGGGGACCACAGACTTCAGGAGAGCTGTCCCACTCTGAACAATGAGACAGCAGGGCCAGTAGCAAATGGCTTCATCATAGTTTAGTTGTTGCTTGTTCGTCTTCGTTTTGATTAAAAATATCGTAAACTAGCCTGGTGACTTACAATTCAAATTAACATGGGAACTGAATTGGATTAGATTTGCATTTCCTGCAATTCTATTTGAAAATGATTGGTGTGCTTTCAAAACTTTTAAGAAGGTCTCTAAGTAGGCAACAGGTACAAGGATGCTATACTGTAAAGGAGCAGCAATAACTACAGGACATTAGACACGAACAACAAACACTCAGCTAACATCCATGCAGAGAATTATGTCGCCACACGGTTTTTCTGAAAGAAAGGACATATTGTCAGACCTGGTGGTGTGGGCCTATAAGGCAGCTCTCAGGAGTCTGAAGCATGACCTTTAACTGTCAAGGCCTGTGTGGGCTACAAGGCGAGCTCAAGGCCAGCCTGGGAGATTTCACAAGACCCTATCTCAAAACAAAGGTGTGAGGAAGGGTGGGGTGTAACCTGACGGAGTCAGAACCTGCTCAAGCCTGAACGAGCCCTCAATTTAATCTCTGGTATGGAAAAACAGCAAGCAAGCAAGGAAGAAAAGGAGAGAGGAAAGGAGGGAGGAGGGGAGAGGAGGGAGGGGAAGAAGGAAGAAAACATAAAAACCCATTTGATATTGTCTAGAAATGTCTAGATAGAGAAGTGATTTCCTGATCATTATGGACAGTATGACCAATGCTTAATATAGAAAAATTATTCCAAAATATGGGCAGGCAATCTCGCTCTGTCAAGATCCCCTAATTTCCTACGTAGGAACACGCAGAATGGAAGGAGGAGTATCCAGGCACACGTGTACAGACCCCACATCCCAGGCACATGTGTACCCCACATCCCAGGCAGACGTGTACACACCCCGCATCCCAGGCACACGTGTACACACCCCGCATCCCAGGCAGACGTGTACACACCCCACATCCCAGGCACACGTGTATA